GGGAGCCGGGGGGGGGTCGGGGGGGCCCCCCCCCCCCCCCCGCAGCGCCAGCGCCAGCAGCAGCAGGGGCAGCCCCGGGGTCATGGTCCTGCGGGGAGGGGACGGATGGCACCTGTGGGGATACCTGGGGACATCCATGGGGACACTCAGACACCCATACGGGACATCAACAGGGACACACGGACACCCATAGGGGACACCCAGGGGACCCAGGGACACCCGTGGGGGGCACACAGGGGACACCCACAGGGACACCCAGGGGACACCCGGACACCCGTGGGGGACACCCAGGGGACACACGGACATCATGAAGGGACACACAGGGGACACAGGGACACCCGTGGGGGACATTGATGGGGACACCCGGACACCCACGGGGGCACCCGGGGACACACAGACATCATGGGGGACACACGGACAGCCGTCGGGGACACACAGACACCCACAGGGGACATCAGTGGGGACACATGGACACCCACGGGGGACAGCCAGGGGACACAGGGGCATCATGGCAGGGACACACAGGGGACACAGGGACACCCATGGGGACATGGGGACACCTACAGGGGACACACGGTCACTGTGACTCACGACACCCACCCACAACCCTTGTGTGGCCCAGGCACCAATGCACCCAATTACCCCAGTAACCCCCGGCAACCCCCAGTAACCCCCCAGTTCTCACTAATTGCAGTAGCTTCATCCCTCCAGTCCCCAGTAACACCAGTAACCCCCCAGCAGCCTCCCAGTAGCCCCACTCTCCAGCAACTCCAGCAACACCAGTAACTCCAGTAACCCCCAGTCTCCAGTAACAGCAGTAACACCAGCACCTCCAGCAACTCACACCAGCAACACCAGTAACAGCAGTAACAGCAGCAACCCCAGCAACAACTCCAGTAGCACCAGTAACTCCAGTCACCCCGTCTCCAGTAACACCAGTAACTCCAATAGCACCAGCAAGCCCAGTAACTCCAGTCACCCCGTCACCAGTTACTCCAGCACCAGCAACTCCAGTCACCTCCAGCATATGCAGCAACTCCAGTAACACCAGTAACTCCAGCACCAGCAACTCCAGTCACCTCCAGCATATGCAGCAACTCCAGTAACACCAGTAACTCCAGCACCAGCAACTCCAGTCACTTCCAGTAACACCAGTAACTCCAGCAACTCCAGTCACCTCCAGCAGCAACTCCAGTAACATCACTAACTCCAGCACCAGCAACTCCAGTCACCTCCAGCGACAACAGCAGCTCCAGCAACTCCAGTAATCCCTGTAACTCCAGTCACCCCAGTAACTCTAGCAACAGCGACACCACCAGTAACGCGAGCGATTCCAGTCACCTCCAGTAGCACCAGTAACACCAGCGACACCAGCAGCTCCAGTCACCCCAGTAAGCCCAGTAACCCCGCTGACTCCAGTGACCCCAGTAAGCCCAGTGACTCCAGCAGTTCCAGTCACTGCAGCACCAGCAGCAATTCCAGTCACCCCAGTAACTCCGGCAGCCCCAGTAAACCCAGTACCTCCCGTCCCAGAGCCGTCCCTGCGGCTCCACTGCGGGGTGGGGTGGGGTCA